TAGCTTTCTAATCACACTTCCACAGACTAAGGGAAATCCTTAATGTGGTTCCCCAATTTTTTTTAACGTCTTAATCTACTCATGATTAAATATAGTTAGTTTCACAAACAATAAAAATTTTCAGTTTGAGTTGCAAGGTACTATAGGAAATGTAAGGCTATTTCTAGCCTAGTCAATTGAGATATAATTAATACTGCTGTTAAGTATTATTGTTGTTAAGGACCTCAGAGAATAGTTAGGATTTGAATTTAGGTAATTATAGTAGTCTCTGCTTGAGAATAATATGCTAAGAGGTACAAGAAAATTTATTTGTGTAAAAATACTTTTGATTATTGAGAGCTTTTATTAATGAATATACATTCACTGCCCTATATGCAATAATTAAAGATGGGTATACATCGTGTGTGTGTGGGGGGGGGGGGGCTTTTTTTTTTAAGATTTTATTTATTTATTTATTTGACAGAGATCACAAGCAGGCAGAGAGATAGGAGGAAGCAGGCTCCCCGCTGAGCAGAGAGCCCGATGTGGGGCTTGATCCCAGGACCCTGGGATCATGACCTGAGCTGAAGGCAGAGACTTTAACCCACTGAGCCACCCAGGCGCCCCTGTGTGTGTGTGTTTTAAGTAAGCTCTGCACCCATGATGGAGTTTGAACTCAGAGATCAAGAATTGCATGCTCTGGGGTGCCTGGGTAGCTCAGTGGGTTAAGTGTCTGCCTTTGGCTCAGGTCATGATCTTAGGGTGCTGGGATTTCATCGAACTCCCTCCTCAGCAGGGAGTCTGCTTCTCCCTCTGCCACTCTGCCTGCTTGTGATCTTTCTTGCTCTTTCCATCTCGCAAATAAATAAATAAAATTTTTTTTAAAGAAAAAATCACATTTTCTATCAACTGAGCTAGCCAGGTGCCCTAAGCTTGGGTATACATTTAACTGAGCTTCTTAACAACCTGAAATAAATTGCCTAAGAGAAACTTTTTCATGTTTTCAAGCACTAGGGTCTTGAGTTTCCCCCATGATTTTTCCTTGGGGAGCACTGGATGAAGTTATCACTATTCTCAAAGACATTCTCAAGTATAATTGAGAATTTTACATTTCCAGTTCATAATACATGAGCTTATTGATCTCTTCTGTGTTGAAATAGATGCTCTTGGCTTTACTGAGATCACACTGGCCTCTGTTTTCTTGAGATTGACCACACAGAGGGCACTTGAGAAGTATAGTCCATTTACCCAGTGTTTTATTGAGTGTCTGTGGTGTGCCCAGCACTCAGCTAATCATATCAGAGTTGCAGATTTAATAAAATGTGGTTCCAGCCTGTTGGTTTTGAATAGTAATGGACAGAAATGGCAGTTGCATTTTAGGCATCGGTGGTGGAATGGTATAAACTGTGTACCGCTGGGGAGGAGGGGACAGAAAGAAGACTACAGTAATATTTATGAAGGGAATAGCCCTAAATTAATAAGTGGCAGTAAGAATAGGGAAGGGGAGACTTATTCTGGAGATAATTGGAAGTTGAAATGGAAGGGTCATAATGAGTGATTGTGGTAGTTGAAGGAGAAAGAGTAGTTAAGATGCCTCCTAAGTTTCTGTCTTGGGGGACCAGATAAATAGACGTACTTACTTCTATTCTTAAATCATGATGACATGTATTGCATTCAAAAATTTTTGTTAGGTATATAACATAATGAGTAATATATCCATATTATAAACAATTGTTGAATAGATTTTAATTTATATGTACATTACAAGAAAAACCTAAATCATACGTTTTATTATTTTTCTTTTCAAGTTGAAATGTTCTTAGCCATGTCTCTAATAAGTAATTACTAAAGTGAAACTTAGGCTAAGACATACTTAAGAGAGAGTATAACTTTATTGTTTTGGGTGGGAAGGGGGTTATACAACAATATACAAGGTCTGATTTAGAGTTTTATTTTTCATAGCCATTTGTTGTGCATGATGCTAGGTACTGTTTGTAGTTTAAGAATACGAAGGTAAATAATACAAAGTTATTAATTGTTAAGGAGCTCAGACCCCAGTAATGGACATTGACATATAAACTGATCATTATGGTTGTACAGTATGTAATTGCTGTAATAGAGATAGACACAAAAGAGGGGTCCTATTCCCCGAGGGTAAGGAGGAGGAGATGGGCATAGGGAAGGCTTCCAGAGTTGATTTCCAAAGTCATTTTTTTTTTCTTTCTGTTATTTGACACAGAGAGAGATCACAAGTAGGCAGAGAGGCAGGCAGAGAAAGAGGGGGAAGCAGGCTCCCCACTGAGCACAGAGCCCGATGTCGGGCTCGATCCCAGGACTCCGAGATCATGACCTGAGCTGAAGGCAGAGGCTTAACCCACTGAGCCACCCAGGTGCCCCCAAAATGATTTTTTAAAAAACTACTTTTCCCACCTTTTAATTTTGAAATTTTCAACCCTATAGAAAAGTATTAAAAAAGAGGACAAGGTGAGGCTGAGCAAAATGGATGAGGGGTCAAAAGGTACAAACTTCCAGTTACAAAATAAATAAGTCATGGGAATGTACTGTATATAGCATGGTGACTATAGTTAATAATACTGTATTGCATATTTAAAAGTTGCTAAGATAGTAAATCTCTCAAAATTACTCATCACAAAAAATTTTGTAACTATGTGTGGTGATGGATGTAACTATACTTACTGTGGTTATCATTTTGCAAAATATATAATTATTGAATCATTATATTGTATACCTGAAACTAATGCAATGTTCTGTGTCAGTTGTGCATCAGTTAAAAAAAGGCAACAAATACCTAAGGATTATCAGTTGCTAATATTTTGCCCTGTTTACTTTACTTGTATCATATGTGATAGAAATAAATATGATATATATCAAATATATTTGAGAACCACCTACGAATAAACTGTTGACAAAATGACACAACTCTTTAATATTTTAGTATGTGTGTCTTAGTGGGGGACATGTTCCTCTAAAACAGTTTTACAGTCATGTTTAAGAAACTTAACATTAATTAATTGTCATCCAGATACAGAGTCCATATCCAGACTTTACCAACTGTTGTAGAAAATGTCTCATCACTTTTTTCCCCCATCCAGTACAGCCCCTTCCTTTTTTTTTTTTTGTTCTTTTTTGTTTGTTTGTTTGTTTTTTATGACATTAACTTATTTGAAGATACCAGTTATAAAGAATTTCACATTCTGGATTTGCCTGGTATTTCCTTCCTGATTAAATTAAAGGCCAGCATTTTTAATGAATACTACATTGGTGATGTTTATTTCTCACTGCATTACATCAAAAGATACATGTCAAATTGTCAAAATTTATTGGTGATGATAAGTGTAATCATTGGTTAAGATTGTGATTTCCAGATCTTTCCAATTTTCTCCTCATTTAATAAGTACATAATCTTGTGTAGTTTCAGCTATTTTTCACTCAATAGTTTTAGTATCCATTGCTGATCCTTGCCTGAATTGTACTGAGGGTTGCAAAATGGTGATTTTCTAATTCTGTCATTCTTTCCGCATTTATGTACCTGGGAATTATAAAGAGCATCCCCTTCCCAACAACTCATCCCCCAAAATACTGCTATGGACTCATGGGTTTTTTCATTTAATTCAGTATGTCATTCTTTGTGATTCTAAAGTTGTTCCAGAGTTGGCCAGTTGAAACAACTTTAACCCAGTTTTAGTATCTTCTGATATGTTTATAAAAAGGAATCCCAAACTTACCTGTTAACTTCCTTATTCCAGATCTGGTATCAGCCATTTCTTCAGGGATCTATAGTTCCTTTTAATGGGGAATGGTATTTTAACTAATTAAGGTATTTTAATTAAGTAGATGTCAGGCCAACTAATAGGTTCGAAAGATGGCAGAAAGACAAAGAAATGAGGAACAGCATATGTTTGATGAATAGAAAATTTTAAGCAATTTCAAAATGTGAAGTAAAGTTAGAACTGAATAAAAGCGAAGATCTTGTGAATTGCTCTTCACTGTTATTTTTTACAAGGGGGAAATGTGTATAAGAGAGTACTTGAAGTTGCGTGACTAACATGAGTGAATCATCCCAGTGGATTTAAATTTAAATAATTAAAATACTTGTTTTAAAACAAATACATTATGCAAAATCCTACAATTTTTTGTAATAAAGCTATGTCAAGATTAAAGCAGGCGGTGCATCTTAAGTCGGGCAACAGAGTATGCATAAACTCTCTTCTGGGATGGTTTGATGACATTAAAAAAAAAAAAAAAGAAGAATATATAATGACATTATAACCCAGGAGGCTAGATTTTTATCAGGATCAAGAGAGTAGAAGCAAGAAGAGCCTGATAGAAGAATATTGCCATTGTATAGGTAAGAAATGATAATGCTAATGTCTGAGGTAGTAGGGAAGGAGATGTTAGTTTCATAGGTTTTCTGAGTATTCTAAACAAAAGCTAAAATTTAACCCCTCTCCCCATCATCAAAAGGGAAGGAAGCAAAAAAGGAAATTGAGAAAACTAAAAACTGTAGCATTCCTCTTTGTACATATCTATATTTGTCCTCCCTTTAAAATTTTTCTATTGATGATAGGCAAATGTTAGTGATGCTTGTAATTTGGGCCATTTTTTATTTATGTATGAGTTATCATTTTTTATGTTTAGCAGTCTCTCCTCAGTTTACTTTCACATCATTGGTGCTGTATTTTAGAAGATTGTGAAATAGACCTTATAAAAATTAGCCCAAGGTAAAAATCAGGAAAGTAAATATCCTCCTGAAATTATAATACATTTTCATGGCAAATAGAATTTTTTTGTATTAACTTCTGCTTTAGATTTTCTGCAAATTCAAGAATTGAGAGAACATGACAGCATAAATTGAGATTTAAGGAGGAGGGTTACTATTTCTTATAGATATGGTATTAGATGTTTTGAATTGTGTCTTAAGTGGCAAACTTTCTGAAGTTTCTGTATTTATGAAAATAACATGTGAGAAGTATTTAGACAGCATCTGTTTCTGTTTTTAGATTGGGCTGGTTTAGATGAAGATGAAGATGCACATGTCTGGGAGGATAATTGGGATGATGACAATGTAGAGGATGACTTCTCCAATCAGTTACGGTAAGTTTTAAGTCAGATTTTATATAGCTTAGTATTAATTGTAAAGATGGAATATGTAACTTACATATGATGATTGACCTCTTTAAAAGATCATTAATCTTTGAAATACATTTTTGAATTACGAAAAGGAAAATCTACTATCTTCATCTGTGTTTCTGAACATGAATACTTTGTGTAATTGCATAGAACTTTTATTCTTTCTAGTTTCTTCACAAAGGTAGTTAAATAGAAGCATATTTGCTATTTTTTATTTTTGTGGGTTTAATTCTATCAACAATAATTTTCCACCAATGTTGAATAACTCAGCAGAAATTAGAACCAGAATGCCAGGACCCAAAAGATTGGTGATTCTCAAACTGGAAAGGAGATTGGGGTGTTGGGAGTGTACTTTTTCATATTCATGTGCAAATTTACCTAATATGATTGATTGAAGGAAAATTCATATATCACAAAACTAATCATTTAGTGTATAATTCAGTGGCATTTTGTATATTCACAGTGTTCTGCAGCCATCATCTCTATGTAATTCCAAAGCATTTCTATCACTCCAAAAGGAAACACCATACCTGTTAAGCAGTCACTCTGCATTCTTCTTTTCCTGGCTCCTGGCAACTACTAATTTCCTGTCTATAGATTTGCCTGTTTTAGATAAGTCATAAAAACAGAATCATACAATAAGTGATCTTGTGTGTCTAGTTTCTTATAGTTAGCATAATGTTCTCACCTTTCATTCATGCCATAGCATGTATCAGTACTTTATTTCTTTTAATGGCTGAATAATATTTCATTGTATGATATGCCACAGTTTGTTTATCCATTTATCAGTTGATGGGCATTTGGGTTGTTTCCAGCTTTTGACTACTGTGAACTGTGTTACTATGAGTATTCATGAACAAGTTTTTGTTTGAATACCTATTTCCAGCTTTGGGGGATATAATCCTAGGAGTGGAATTTCTGGGTCGTATCATAATTCTCTTTAACTTTTTGAGGAACTGCCAAATTGTTTTCCACAGCATCTGCACAATTTTACATTACTACCAATAGTGTATGAAGGTTCTAAATTGTCCACATTCTCATCAAAACTTTATTCTTTTTTTATTATAACCATCCTAGTGGGTATGGATTGGTATCTCACTATGGTTTTGATTTGCATTTCCCAAATGACTAATGAAGAGCCTTTTTTTGTGTATTTGTTGTCAATTTGTATATCTTCTTTCAAGAAATAATCTAGTCACGTCCTCTGCCCATTTTTAAGTTGGGTTGATATTCTTTTTGTTGTTGAGTTGTCAGAGTTCTTTATATATTCTGAGTACTAAGCCCTTATCAGACCTATTACTTACAGATATTTTCTCTCATTCTGCTCACTTCTCTTTTCATTTTCCTCATAGTGTTCTTTGTACATAAGTTTTTAATTCAGATGAAGTCCAGTTTATCTACTTTTTAAGAATTTATTGCCAAATTCAAGGAAAATTTATCCACATATTTTCTTCTAACAGTTTTAGAATTTTAGTTCTTACATTTAGGTCTAAGATCTGTTTCAAATTAATTTTTGTACAGGGTTTGAAATGAGTCCAACTTCATTCTTTTATTAGACCAGTACCATTTGTTGTAGAGATAATTCTAACCTCCCTAATTTTATTTTGATTCAACCCATAGTATCTATCTTGGCCACAGAGTAAACTGTCATACTTTGCTCAAATCAAGATCTAGCAGTTCTACTGCAGTCTTCTAATTTTCTAGTCTAGTACATTTGTTCAAAAAGAGAGATGTTTTATAAGAAATTTAATGATGCAGTACCTTTTGTTCTACACTGCATTTTTCACGGACTCAAAAACCCTACGTTCTAAAGATATTTTAGGATTTTGCTGGAGACTAATAACAATTTTATCTATCACCTTTCTCCCCTTTTTGGAAATAGCACAATTTACCTTTCACTTTTATTCTGGTACTTTTACAATTCTCCATGATTTCTCAAAATGGCTGACTCTTTGACTGTGTCTTTTCATTCTTTCAGTATGCTGAGATGTAATTATTCAGAGCCTAGAGATTTTAAGCTGCTTTAATGCAGTTTAGAGTTATCTCACCTTAGTTTTCAATTTTGTATTAATGATGTTTTTCCTGTTGCAGTTTTATGAACAAGATAGGAACAATACTGTTGAACAATAATTCTGCTTTTTCTCTGACTCTGTTAATATTACATCTCTTCCAAGCATTGGATCTATTCTCATTCTTCTTTATTCATATATGGCTCTCAGCCTTTTTTGTTCTTTCTATAGCTCTCAGTCCATATTGGGGTTAAATTCTGTGTGTATAAGTTCTTGCCACTTTTTGCATTAATTTTTGGTTCATATTTTAAAACTGAGCAACATCAGAGAACACCTGCTACCTTTTTTTTTTTTTTTTCAGTAGGCATCCCCCTCTTTCTTCCCTCACTAGAATCATTATACTCTTAGACTATTTTCAGGCCTTCCGGCTCTGTTGATCCCCATTCTGAGTTCTTAATCATTTATCATTTTTTTTCTTTTCTGTTATCTTGAAACTTTTCAGGTTGAAGCTGAATGAGTTTTCTTCCTTTGCTATTCATAAATTAAATTTCTTCAAAATGTTTTTCTTTTTTATCTTCCAAAGTCAGAAAATAGCACTTTTCTCTTAAAAAATTAAACTAAGACATTATTAAATACTGGGTCGCCTGAGTGGCTCAGTTGGTTAAGTGTCAGCCTTTGGCTCAGGTTATGATCCCAGGGTCCTGGGATTGAGCCCCACATTCAGGTTCTCCACTCTCCCTCTGCCTCTCCCCCTGCTCATGTGTGCATGCTCATGCTCACTCTCTCAAAATAAATAAATAAATAAATAATTTTTTAAAAAGACATTATTAAATACAATGATCTTACCAGGAGACTTTTAGTAATAAATACATTGACAATTGGATTTCTTGCCACTACTGCATCTTGTCTTTTTTCTAGCTTGGAAGTAGAGCATTATTCATATATTATTTGTGTCCTGTTGTTTTTATAATACACTTACACAGTTCTTAGGTTCTCCTTTGTGTTCTGCCTTTACGTTTGTGGATTTCTATGAGAGTATAAGTTTTGATACCTTTATTAGTGAATAAGATTTTTCTTTTTATTTTCCTGTTTGAATCATGAGGTTTTTTTTTCCACATGTGGGTTGATACATCTCATCAGCACTATAAAATAGAACTTCTTATATTGATAGAAATGTTTTGTAAGCTGCCCTATCCAGTACAGAAGCCACCAGCCACATATGGCTCTTGAGCACATTGAAATGTAGCTAGTGCAGCTGATGGACTGAATTTTTCATCTTATTTAATTTTAATAAATAGCCATATGTGATTCCTGTATTGGACATTGCCGTGTCAGATAATATTTTTATCTTTGCTTTAAAAAAGTTGTCCTCCAGATTAACTAGTTGTCCTGATTAACTTTGCAGATTAACATCTGCAAAGATGTTCTTCTTAGTCTTTGTAAAACATCTAGAGGTCCTCAATGTGATATTATAAGCCATAGTAAAGAACATATTTTACTGTGTTCTGATATTGTAAATAGGTCTTAATCCCTAGCTTTTGAGAGGCAGTACATTTTCTAGAGTCATTCTGATTCCCTGAGTTCCAACTCTGAATCTGCCTTTTTATTAGCTACGTCTTAGCCTTCCGCTTTCCATGTTTTTCTCTTTCACTGTAAATACCTATAACAAGTAGAAGTAGAAAGAAAAAGGCCACCTGTATCTCCAAGTAACTAAAAGTCATAGAGAAACAAATAGAAGCAGCAAAAACAATGACTCTTAGTTCTTCTTGGAGTTATTTAGAGATACATTCAGTAGAAATGGGTGGGATTAGTTTTCCTGACCTTGCATCACATGTTACATAAAAAAATCCAGGAAGCCAATATTGTTCTGATTTCCATGTCAAATATAGCCACTGTCCTATAGCAGAGTAGTTTCTTGGATAATAAGAGAGTTCTCAAACCTACCAGTGGCTATTTGTCTTTCTGTTTTTGTTGAAAAAGGAAAGGTGCTGTTTTTATTTCAGATAGTGTACAGTCACTATATGTGTCCTGTGATACTGTTCAATTGTGCTGGATTTTTTTCTCATCTCTTTGTTAGATTGTATAGATTAGATTGTATAATTTTGTGTTTTGTACTTAGTACTTCAATTTGTTTTTCCTTTTTTTTATATGTCCTAAATTCTAGCAAAAAACCTTTTCATCTTCTCTAAAAATAGAGAAGCATATCATATTCTCCTTTGTATGTGTTAATAATTTACAAATGTAATTAGTCACTACCTCCTTTCAGTAAGGCAGATGCAAACCTGGACAGATTTGGTGTACCTGTTAACTAAATTGTAGGCTGACTTTCCAGGATTTTTGTTCTTGTTGTAGAATAAGAGAATTTGAATAATCTACATTGATTCTGTTAAAGGCGGCAGAAGACTATTAAGAAACTTTAAAAATTATTTCCTTTTTAAGTAGAAAACATGAAGAACAGATAAAATCTTTAATCTGGAAAGGGATGGGGTGGGGGGGGCAGAAGAAGCATTTTGGTTAAATTTAGCAAAGGAAGGAGCAGAAACATGGGCTGATCTTTTGACTACTAAAGGGGTGATTTACCACCAGCCATACTATCCTCTACACCTGAGCAGAAGATAATGTTTTTTCTGAATAATTTCTGGATTTAATATTATTCATGGACTGTAGATCCGTGTTTGTATTATAAATAACTAAATATTTTAGTGACATTTGGGTAAATGAATAGTAAATATACATCATTCCTACATGTGTTTTTTTGTATTGTGTTTACATTGGATAGTGTGATAGTGTCCAAGCTAAATTATATTTGAGAACAAATGTCAGTTTATCTTACCAGATATAATGGCATGGGGCACATTAATCATACTTTACATTTATACAATGTTTTATCATGCTTTGGCTCTGAAATAATTTTGTTGTAAACTTCTATAAAGTTGAATTGTGGCAGGGGCACCTGGGTGGCTCAGTGGGTTAAAGCCTCTGCCTTCGGCTCGGATCATGGGATCGAGCCCCGCATCGAGCCCCACATCGGGCTCTCTGCTCAGCAGGGAGCCTGCTTCCTCCTCTCTCTCTGCCTGCCTCTCTGCCTACTTGTGATCTCTGTCAAATAAATAAATAAAATCTTAAAAAAAAAATTGAATTGTGGCAGAGAAGTTACTGATCATACTTGGAGTAGTAGTTTAGCTGAAATTGACTATAGAGCTAAACTTTTTTGTGCATCTGTTTTATGCAAAGCAGATGAAAAGTTGCAGTATATAAGGACGACTGAAAGTTGAGGTTGAATAAATTATTTAAATTACAAAATATCTAGGGACGCCTGGGTGGCTCAGTTGGTTAAGCAGCTGCCTTCGGCTGAGGTCATGATCCTGGTATCCCGGGATCGAGTCCCACATCGGGCTCCATGCTCAGCGGGGAGCCTGCTTCTCCCTCTGCCTGCGACTCTGTCTGCCTGTGCTCGCTCGCTCTCTCTCTCTCTCTGACAAATAAATAAAAATAAATTTTAAAAAAATTATAAAATATCTATATTTATATAAAATATAAATTTATAAATATAAGTAAATTTATATGAAATATAAATTAAATTTATGTTGTATATTTACAATATATATTTGTATATATTGGGTATATAATTATAAATTTTTGAGGTCTTTAATACACATTTAAAATTTTTTTAAGTAAAATCTTGTTTAGTATTTTATAACTTATATATGTTTTGTCTACATATAGTTAATGCAGAATAAGTCCCATGTACTTGTAAATTTGATAACTTTTGTCTGGGTTAGAGCAATAGATATATGTCAATATGGAAAGCAGTCTGTTTATTCTTTATGTATAAATAGCAGTAATACCTACTAGGATTATAAAATTCCTAAAAATTTGATACCAGATGTCTTGTGTTCTAGATGTTTTGAAGATAGTAGTTAATCTCTCACATTTTTTCCTTAAATAGATTTATCAGAAAATTAAAGAATATAAAATTAGGTTTACTAATGGGAAAGCAGAATTTTATTAGCATTAATGTTTATTCACATTCAGCTTCCTTCTTGCGCAGATTTCTTTTAAGGGTGTAAAGTAAAAGCTACTTGGTAGTGTTTTATATTTGTGCCTAGGCTTAGCTCATTGTTTAATTAATTGTATTTCTAAAAACATTGTTTCTTTAATTTATCATAAAGAATGTCCAGTGATGTTGTTCTTCTTTTGTGTTTTATTATAGAGCTGAACTAGAGAAACATGGTTATAAGATGGAGACCTCTTAGCATCCAGAAGAAGTGTTGAAGCAACCTAAACTTGAACTGTACTAAATTCTAAGTCAGAGAACCCAGGATGGGACACTTTAAAAAAAAAAAAAAAAAAGTTTATTTCATTACCTGCTGGGATTTATTTTTGTTTTTGTAACACACACAAAAAATAAATGTTTTGATCTAATCTTGGTTTGGTTCAGAAGTCTTGATCTTTTGCTTCCCGTCATTAATTTTCTCACACTATTTATGATTTTCTGGGACTTTATTATATAGAGATAGTAAATTCATCTGATCCCCGATTCAGCACTTTTTTTTTTAACCACATCAATTTAATGTTGATCTTATTCATAAGGTTACTTCTTTTAAGTTACATTTAACCTTAATCTCATCTGTATTTTGAAAGCTTAGGAAACATTTGCTGACATCTCTAAGGTGACCCTTTAAAACCTGTGTTTTAAAAATATTAATCATTTTCAATTGATGCAATTAGTTCCTGAGCCATTAATAATAGTATTAATAGTTGATAGAGTATTATTAGTACTGAAAACCAAGTGGTTTGATCATAGTCAGTGTCCTCTGTCAAAATTGGTGAAGTAGGATCAAGAGACTTTGTTAACATAGGCATATTCTCAGGTACTACATAATAGATTCATTTAGTCTAAGATTCTACAAAGTGATTATCATTGCCACATCTACTTTTGTGAGTGGGAGATACAATTTAGTTGGTAAAGGATTCTTCCTTGTAAGACTTAGAATGAAGCTAATGTACAGGTTTTATGAGGAATATTTTCAAACTTGAATGTGTTACTTACTTAGAAGGAGAATTAGCAGAACTGTTGAGTAATTTAAAGTGTAAAATTTATGTAACATGATGTATTTTTATTTTATTTTATTTATTTATTTGACAGATCACAAGTAGGCAGAGAGAGAGTGGGAAGCAGACTCCCCGCTGAGCAGAGAGCCCGATGTGGGGCTCGATCCCAGGACCCTGAGATCATGACCTGAGCCGAAGGCAGAGGCTTAACCCACTGAGCCACCCAGGCGCCCCTGTAACATGATGTATTAACACCAAAATAAAATTGGGTGCCTGAAATATACTTTAAGTTATGCCTCAAAATGATTTTGAACATGTTTTTCTCCTAAGACAAGCTTATATCTGCCTTGCCTACCTGGAGAACTGCTGGGTGATTTAGGTAGACTAAGGAATAAGAAAGAACTTTGGAAAGTGTAAAAGCATCTTACCTTTTTGTAATCCTGTAGTGCAGCACAGGCAGCCATGCTACTGTTGTGGCAAGTGAAGAAATATTTTGATGTATATGTTCTCAGTACTCTGGTGGGTGATTATCTTTAGATGCCATATCAGTAGTCACTTTGACAGTGTCAGATACTACCCAGGAGGGTGGCCACCTCATGTGACTTTAAATTGGTGCAAGGTACAATTTTGAAACCTTACAGGAATTGGGCAGAGGCTTTAATGGGTTTTCATTAGTATCTGGTGTTTTTTGTGTGTGTGTGTGTGTGTGTGTGTGTGTGTGTGTTTTAAAGATTTTATTTATTTATTTGACAGAGAGAAGGATCACAAGCAGGCAGAGAGGCAGGCAGAGAGATAGAGAGGAGGAAGCAGGCTCCCCACTGAGCAGAGAGCCCGATGTGGGGCTCGATCCCAGGACCCTGAGATCATGACCTGAGCCGAAGGCAGAGGCCTTAACCCACTGAGCCACTCAGGTGCCCCTGGTGTTTTGTTCTTGATGAAATTTCAAAATTTAGTTTGGGTATTCTTTTCTGTTAAGGGTTGAGTACCTGAAAATTGGTATTTAGTATCAGGATGATGAAGCCGTCAATGGTAGAAAGACAAGTTAAGCAGCTGAAGAAAATTATTTTTGTGGGACTTTATAGTGAATAGATTTCTTTAATTTTGATCTTCACAACAGCCCTGCCAAGGCAGGTGGGAAGGGTCTGTCTATTGTAAACATTTCATCAAAAGAAAACCACCTCAGAAAATAAGGCAGTGAAAGGGGCCATGGTTGTATAGCTTATAGGTGTCAGATAAAGCCTAGCATCCAGGGTTGGTTTTTTTTTTCTTTGTCGTTTTCCATAATCACTTAATTCCACTTGAAATAGTTTTGAATTCAAATTGTAGATGTAATAATGGTCAGTATTTTTCATCAGGCCTTGGATTAGAATTGCCGCCACTGGATGCCATGTCTCTTCTTCCTATTTCTACTAAATGTTTAATTTAAAAAACTATAATAATGAGCCAACACTCTTGAAAAATTGTATGGTATGTTAAAAATGCCATGTAATGGCATATCATGATCTATCCTGTGCTTTTTAAAGATAGCCATATCGTGTCTGCTCCTCAGCTAAGCTGAGAGAGGGAACATCTTCCATTCTTTTGGCAGAGAGCTAATAATTTGCACTACTCTGTCTACTCACACAGAAGATGCTGGGGAGTTAGACTTGAGTTTTCTAGCTGCCTTAATGGCTCTAGTTGTGTTCCAACTTTAAATCTTGGCGTAGATCTAGATTCTGTCCTGTATCCACTTCTTGCTCTAGTATCCATACTATATTCTCTTCAGTAATTTTGTCCAATCTCAGTTGCTTAAATAAGAAAAAAAAAAAAACCCTGCATATGTATGATTTCATTCTCTATTTTCAGTCTTTGCCTCTCCTTGAAGTCCTAAATTTTCTTACCACTAACAACTTGATCACCTTTTCAGTATCTAAAGGGTATCTTTAACTGGGTGGAAACGGAAGATTTGATTATTCTTCTCAAACCTGATCTTTCATCCAGTCTTCACCATCTCAGTAAATACCCCACCTTCTTCCCAATTGCTGAAGCCAACACTATTAAGAACTGTTCTTGAAATCTTCTCTTGGTATTTAATCTAGTGGCAAGCCCTGTCAACTCCACCTTCAAAAGTATATCCCTTGTAGTTGATAGCACTGCTTGCCTACCCAGCATCTATTTCCCCTTACTCTTTTCAAACAAATCATCATTTTTTTCCCTCACATACCACCTTTTCATATATGCCATCTAACTCAAGGCAAGTCAACCCCATTCCCAGTTCATGATGGGCTCTGCTTTAGTCAATCATAACTCTATCTCATACAGATGAGTGGATGATGGATGGGCAAGTTTAAATAAATATGGGCCAATAAACAATTGGCTAGGGGCATCTGGCAAAGAGGGATCTTGGCTTTTGAAATAGCAAGCCTCTCTATAGGTGTGAATAAGGAGCATGTAGTCATAATTGCTAGTGGCAGTTACCTAACAACTATTCCAGTTTGAGGCCAAAGATAATTAGTCTGGAAGAATGTGATTCTTTGATAATATCCTTGAGGCTGCTCTGGCACTAAGCTTCCTGTAAAATAAGCAAATATAAGACATCTTGGGTTGGGTTTTTGGTTACTGGTATCCAAAAATAACTGATAATTTCAGAATCTATCTACTCCCACTTTCTAGTACCTTAATCTAAGCCATCATTCACTAGGATTTTCTATAATGATCACCTGACCAGTCTCCCTGCTTTTACTTTCTCTGCCCTACAGTCTTTCCTGTAAAAAATAGGAATCTTGTTGAAATTTAGACCATGTCATCCCTTTCTTTAAATGCCACCAAGGACTTCTTAAAGCATCATAAAACTGAACTCAAAGCCAAATATAATTAGCCTCTGCCTATCTCAGCTTACATCACTTGATTTTCAGTTAGTGTCATATTTTGGTCACTTTTGAAAAGTAAATGAAAGATAAATCACTAAGCAGAAAGTCATTATACTCATTATACTTGAATGCACCAGGGGTCTTTCCACCAGTTGGTACCTGGAAGGCTTGCCCCCCTCATCCTCACAAGTCAGTCCTGAGCTCAGAAGGGTCCAGCAGAGTCAGTATAGATGAGGAGATAGAGGAGAGACTTTTTTTTTTTTTTTTTTTTTTAAACAGCTGATTTTGCCTTCCTTCTTGGCTTGTAAGACACAAATCCTCGTAATAGGCCCATGTCATCTCATTGATTGTACCTAGACAATTCAAAACTTATATCTTGCCAGAAGAGGTCAGTAGGATCACCAATGACTGAAATATATATATATTTTTGTTATTGCCTGCAGTGAATGTCTTACAGAAAAATCTTCATAACTTTTTACTTTGCCCAAAATATGACATCATTGTTCACTAATTATTCAATACATTAATTACATGAATCTTATGTTTTTAAGAGTAATCCTTTACCTAAGGTAAAATGTTCTCTTCTGTACATTAGTGTTAATAAAGATAATAAGGATGGGGCACCTGGGTGGCTCAGTGGGTTAAAGCCTCTGCCTTCAGCTCAGGTCATGATCTCAGAGTCCTGGGATCAAGCCCTGAATTGGGCTCTCTGCTCAGCAGGGAGCCTGCTTCCCCCTCTCTCTGCCTGCCTCTCTGCGTACTTGTGATCTCTGTCTGTCAAATAAATAAAATCTTAAAAAAAAAGATAATAAGGATGTTTGAACTTTGCAGATCTCATACTCAAATACTCATAGCATTGTGTGTGTAGAAACCTGTGGTCTAAGTTGATAGGGTATATCTTAGTGATTTTGATTATCGTATTTCCAAGTAGAGGAATGGATAGGTTTTATGAGAAGAGCAATTGCTTTTCTTCGCTAGGGCTAAGGTCACTATCTAGTCACAAAGATGACAGTTTGTGTTTATGTTACTTAATATTTTTCAGTAATTTCCCCTTTGGTGATTAAGAACAGGATGTTCTCTATATATAGATAGAGATATATACAGATATATAGGTAGATACAGACACATAGATATAGATATGTTAAATTACTTTGGCTTTGGAGATATGTATCTTTTCTCTGAAGCAGGACTGTAGGAAAAACATTTCGTGGGATAAAGAAGTCATGCTATAAGTGTACAAAAATTGTAAGCAAAGTTTTAAAATACTTATGATTTATATATTGGAGAGGTTTCTTCTTACAATTTAGCTTGTTAAATTATTAAAACATTTTGGAAGCTAAGTTTTCACTGATATTATAGTCTCAGTCTATATATTACTAGTTGACATTAGCATAGGAGATTAACTCCTGTTAGATTTTATTTTGTTTTCAAATTAAAATTGCTGATAGACTAACAATTGTCTCTTTTTTAATATCATCAAAAGAGAGCATATACTTTTCCTTAATTTTTCTTGCATGAATGAAATTGGTAATCTCATTTTAGAATGGTCACAATGCACAGAAAAGTCTAGGATATTCAGTCAGGAATTCAGGAATTTGATGAGGGATTTCTAATAGTATTCCTAGGATTTTGTGGATGAAGGTGTGAGGATAGGGGTCCACAGATCCCTCTTTATTTCATTTGGACCTTTTTGACCTTTACTTGTGTTAGACATTGAAATTCAATGTAGGATTTCATTTGAAAAATCGGTTTTGTTGCCTTTTTTTAAAGTTTGATAACAGTGATCTAGATTTTCTATGATATTGGCAATTTCTCCTAAGTACTACCAAGTAAGTTAGGTTTTGTTTTCTGTCCAGATTCAGGGTAAAACCACTACATACTGTGAAAATTATAAACATTTTTTTTTTTCTAAATTTGCTGAGTCTTTGTCATCTTTATATTTCTGACCATGATGTTAGATTTACAGAATTGGACAGATTGCTAAAGAGCATCTACCTCCAAAACTTCATTTTGCAGTTAAAGAAATAAACCCAAAGCCATTATGACCTGTTTCCAAGGTCACATA